AAATTATTTGCAGTGTTGTATTGTTTAAAAACAACCGCAATTTTATTGGCATTGACTCTATGTAAAGCTACCACACCTTTCACCTCCGAAGTAAAAATATGATTTAAGTAAACTGGGCTTTTATTTCCAATTTTAACCTGTTGGTCCTGGCTTTCAACAAAAACTTTGAAGTCCGTATTTGTACAATGTTCAGGATAAAATCTCAGATAACCTGGCTTAAAAAACGGAATAAAGTCTCCTCAACTCGTACCTCTTTTACGAACAATTTTGGATCGTTTCGGAGTTCCACCTGGGTCCCCCGTTTCATTCATTTTGATAATTCACACAATGTAAAATTATTTACACTGACTAAAATAAGTTTTGGTAATACGTAACAGAATATTTTTAAAGAAAGATATTAAAAATTATTAAATCGACCGCCTCGTTTAGAGTTCCCGCCAAAAAAGAAAACTTTTATAGTCTTTTCAGCGTATATACGAATATATAAAAGAGAAAATATAGTGGAGTGTCCTATTGAGATGACGGTTATTATTGAAAGTCATAATGTGGAAACTGTGTTTATGTTAGGAGACTACAACGCGTACCCTGGTGAGTCTTTTGACACACAACTATCGTCATTTTGCTCTGAACAGTTATGGACATGTATAGACAGAGACTTGTTTCCATCCGATACCTATACTTTTGTGAGTGACGCGCATGGTAGTTTAAGGTGGCTAGACCATGTTGTGGTCACGACCGCGGCGAGGCCCATTGTACTTTCTGCATGTATTCTTTACGACACGTATTGGTCCAATCACTTTCCTGTATAGATGGAGTGTAATTTCAATATTGTGACACCAAAATTAGCTCAGTCGAATAATTGTATTAATAAAACCTTATGGGGAGAGCATGATAATGATCAAATTGATAAATATTATATTGAATGTAACTCCAGGTTATTATATTTTTCAGCAGAGTTTTCGGATTGTTGCGATAGTATGTGTAGTAACCATCAACACAAAATAATGCTTGACAGATTGTATGAACATATGGTGTCTATACTTTCGGAGGCCGTAATCTGTAGTTATAATGTTAGGATGGGGCGAGAAGGTAAATACTTACCTGGTTGGAACAAACACGTTCGCAAGGCGCGTGGGAGGGCTCGATGTTGTTTTTAAAGTTGGTCACTACATGGCAGACGTGGCTCTGGTCACGCATATAATGAAATGTGTGAATCGAGACGCATTTTTAATGTGCCATGTGTAATTAAAATGGTGCCAAAATAACCAGACACAAATAAAAATGGACATAATAGCTGAACACCACAAAAGAAAGAACTTCGGTCAGTTTTGGAAAGCTACCAATAAAATGAATCATAAGTTGAGCCTTCCCGTGAGTGTTTCGGGAGCTTGTGATCCTAGTGATATTGCTAATGTATTCAGAGAATACTTTAGAGTGGAATCACCACTGGTACCGGCAGAGCCGCTGGTGTCTGATGCTGAGGCAGGTAGTCCGAAGATTAGTGTATTTTTACCGCCAAAGATGTAGCTAAATTCATTAAGTGCATGGTGAGGGGCAAGTCGCCTGGGCATGAGCATCTCAGTATGGAACACCAGCAGAATGCTGGAATTCATTTGCCAAGGGTTTTGTCTTTGTTGTTTAATTTGTATATTGGGCGTTCATATCTCCCTGACAAATTGATGCGAACTATTGTTATTCCTATTCCAAAAAACAGGACTGGTGACGCTTCTGACGTGTCCAACTATAGGCCCATCTCTCTTGCTTCTGTGATCGGTAAGGTACTGAACAGTTTGCTTAACGGGTTCCTGGATAAGCACATCTCGCTCAATGATGCTCAATTCGGTTTTAGACCAGATCTTTTCACCGGAAGTGCTATCCTGTATCTCAAGCAGACTTTCCAGTATTACACAGCAAGAAATACAGCTTGTGGGATAAGATGAGATCTGAGACTAGCCTGCCCGAAGAAGATATATTGCTCTTTAAGCACTGGTATAGCAACCAAAAGAACAATGTCAGATGGGCTGGTTCGCTCTCAGAAGAATACAGATTAGAATGCGGCGTGAGGCAAGGTGGTCTAAGCTCTCCTACGCTCTTTAACTTATGTATGAATAAGCTCCTTGATGAGCTTAGCAGTACCGGTATAGGTTTCCACATTGACGGAGTTTGTATTAATAACATAAGTTATGCAGCTAATATGGTGCTGCTGAGTCCATCAAGTGGAGCCTTAAAGAAAATATTAACCATATGCGAATCTTATGCTGTGGCCCAGGGGCTTAAATATAACGCTGTTAAGATCGAATTCATGATGTTTAATCCGGGCCACAAGCGATACGCTAATGTGCCACTTTTTAAGCTCTGTGGAACCCCTTTGAATAAAGTTGAGACCTCTAAGCACCTTGGCCACTGGATCACAGAAGATCTGAAAGACAACCAGGATATTGAGAGAGAGCGGAGGTATGTCGTGGTGCAGTCTGTGGGTTAACTTTACGCAGAGAACATACAGTGATCGCGTACAATACAATAACGGGTTTCGGGTATTAATGGGGCTGCCACGTTTCTGTAGCGCTTCTGCTATGTTTGCGGAGGCTCACGTGGATGGTTTCACCGCCATAATGCGTAAACGTTGCACTTCCCACCTTAGGCGCATTCGCGACAGCCCCAACATCAACATCATCAACGCGCAACATCTTTCGCACATTGTAAGACCGTTGGGACTCGCCGATGCATGCTCGGCTGCTCGCAGTTAAGTAGTCATATTGCGGGCAGGGCCGGGTGCCATATTTGTATGTGTCGTTTTTTTTGTATATCTATGTTTTATGTTCAATTTGCAATTACTAACTTTAGTTATAAACTCTAAAAATTGTTACTAACCTATATGGATCACGATGTCCGAAATAAACATTTACTATTATTATTATTATTGGGGTATCTGTATAGTTTTCTCATCTGGTTGGGTTCTATAATATATATCTATAAATTAAAATGAAAAGATAAATATATACATAAATATCAATAAAATAAAATAAATACAAAAAATACATAAATAAATAAAGATCCAACCAGATGGAAGCCCTCGGCAGGGGAGACCAAACGGCCGAGGGTTAGACTTTATGACATGCCTAAGTGACTCACCGGGATGGCGACAAGCTCGACAGATGTCGACGGTGCCATCCTTTAGGATGTACGAGTATCTCCGATAGTTGTTGGTCTTAATAACCTGATCCTGTATCGCACAGAAAAAACCCTCGGTTTCCCCGAAGAGGTCACCGAAACGTAGCCAGTTGAAGGAGTGACTGTATATACGAAAGGTTCATGTAGAGCCTTGTAGAACCTCCCGTGGAGTTCCTTCTCCTTCCATACAGTCTCCTGGTCGGAAATGCTCTGTACTGCCAGTTTTTGCCATTGCTCGTTGGCCAAGGATAGAGGGGTAAGCCCTTTATCAGAACAAATAACGTCCCTATAGAATGGATCATCCGATCTCGTCAGAAAGTAAGTACGGAGGCTGCACACCGTTTTTCCGCGGCAAATAATCTTAACTTCATAATCGAAGATCTCGGGTGATGCATCCTATGGGACGTCATAGTAGTGCGGACTTTTCTATCCAGGGCGTTAAGTTCCATCTGAGTCCACCTAAGTATGCCAAAGGTATACATGAGTACAGGCATGACCCAACCATTATATGCATGTGCCTTATTCACACCGGACAAAAGGCTGTTAAGCACTTTGGTCAAGCGTGCATAAAACACGTCGCAAACAGACTGTTTCATACCAGCCTCATCGATACCGATGTTCTGTGACATACCCAGGTATCGGTATGTTTTAGCCTCGGAAAGGGTCCTCAAGTTGACGGGCATAGATAAGTCTATGCCCTTAGAGTTAGCAACCCTTCCCCTTTCAACATGGAGGACCGCACACTTATTCGTTCCCAGCTCCATTATAATAGAATTGCTAAATTCACAAGTGATGTTTAGCAATTCCATAAGATGGGAGCGACTGGAGGCGAATAACTTGAGGTCATCCATATAGAAACGGTGGGTCACTTTTGTTCCTCCCTTCCGTAGCTGAAATCCTCTCCCGGAGCCCTCCAGTAAGGTACTGAGAGGGTTCAGAGAGAGGCAGAACCAGATTGGACTCAGACAATCGCCCTGGAAGGTACCCCTTCTTATCCTTATGTGGTTCTCCGCAGTCATCATCCGCTCGCCCAGATAACAGAGGATCGTACTTCACTGCCCCATACACTGCTCGAGGAAGTCTCTAACTGTACAGTCAATCTCGTACAGCTCGAAGACCCTCTTTAGCCATGTATGGGGCACCGAGTCGAATGCCTTTCTGTAGTCTATCCAGGCGGCGGAGAAGTTCCGACGGTTGCGTTTCACCACTTTGCCAATGATCGTGTCAATGAGGAGTGGTTCCTTGGTTCCACGACCACCGCCCCGACATCCGTTTTTAGTGCGTGACATCACCTGATTTAGCTCCAGGTGACGAGTGATTCTCGCACTCAAAATGGATGTCAGTGTCTTATATATAGTGGGTAGACAAGTGATGTGGCGATATTTGCTCGGGTCTGTGGTATCCTGATCTTTAGGAACCAAGTGAGTGATCCCAGTAGTGAAGAGGCTCGGGAGCGACTTCTGATCGAGAGCCTCTTGAAACTGTCGGGCGAGCACAGCGTGACACACTACGAACCCCTTCAGCCAGTAATGATGCAGCCCGTCGAGCCCCGGACTTTTCCAGTTCGGGGCCCTACGGACCGCCTCAGCCACGTCTTCAGGCGTTATAGTGACGGGGTCCATAGGCGTAACACTTGCACTCTGGCTCGCAACAACTTCCATCCAAGGGCCCTCGCTGTGGTTTACGGGCTCTAACCACAGGCCACGCCAAAATGCGACAGTGTCAGTCTGATCCGGGCCTGGGCCCGCTCCACATACCTCTGGTCGCTCCAATGATTTATAGAGCCTCTTCTGATCACTCTGGAAGAGACGATTCTGGTTAAACAGCCTTCACCTCTCGCTAAATCGTCGAATCCGCTTCCCCCAAGCAGCGATTTTTTGCTTCAGGTCATCTATGCGCTCCGTTAGTTTCTGCGTGATATCCGGCTTGGACAAACTAATATTTGTCCCAGCAAACGCCATTCTGACGGTGCGTACAACTCTCGGTCTATTATTACCCGACCTGAAACTTGTCAGTCTACCGATAAGGGCCCTTGCCTTTGCGATACGGTCCTCGATCCTTTTTCTCCAGGCTGGGATGGCACTACCTTGTTGAGTAGCACGTCTAGCCATGGGAAGTTTGGCGCCAATAATACGGCATACTGCTAGTGCGGCACCAAAAAGCATTGAGTCCGTCTCGCAAAGGTCCCGGCTGGCTTCCAAATAGGTCACCAGCATTGGGTTAAGAGCCCACAAGACAGCCCGATTTCGCTTGATAAGGGGTATAAGTCGCGGTCGATTTTCGGGAGGCATGCTGCGCGTTTCCAGCATCGACTCTTCCAATATGCTCCTCATTTTCTCTAGTTCGTGGGAGACTATTCCATCATCGTCTGAATTAGCCTGGTGGGGATGAAGGATGCGGAGGGCCGCTAGGTGATCGTACAGCTCCTCGCACTCGGCTGGCGGCCCGCATGCTGCCGCGTCCAGCGCCAGCTCCAGACGCGCCCCGGCGACACCAAGGCAGAGGCCCTATGCGCGTTCCTCTTTGTACCATCATCCATTTATGGGCGCCAAATAACGGCCCAAGCCCGGCACCGTTTCGTGGTTCGGTCATATGCACAAACGGACCTTTGCACCCACAATTTTGCCTAGGCACGGCGCTCACACCTCTTGGCAGGGCGCTGACTGACTGCACCGACGTAGTAGTTTTGTCACATAACTGTTACGTCAGCGGGCGATGGGGTCGTCACTTCCCTACGCCTTTTTATTATTATTTTTGGGGTATCTGTATAGTTTTCTCATCTGGTTGGTTTCTATAAATATATAATTATAAATTAAAATGAAAAGATAAATATACATAAATATCAATAAAATAAAATAAATACAAAAAATACACAAATAAATAAAGATCCAACCAGATGGAAGCCCTCGGCAGGGGAGACCAAACGGCCGAGGGTTAGGGGGAAAGGGAAAGAAACCGACGGACGATGCGGGCGGTATCGAGGACCACTGCCTTCTGCATTTGAGCCCGGAGCGGTCCGTCACGGAGTCCCAGTCGCCTCAGATGACCCGAGAGGCTGACTGGGATTAGCCCGTTTGCAGAGACGACTACAGGAATAATTGCGGTCGGCAGACCACCCCACATGTCGGTCACCTCGTGAGCCAGGTCCAGATATTTTGTTTGCTTATCTGTTTCGGCTTTCACGAGGTTCTCGTCATACGGAATGGTAATGTCGACCAAAAATATCCTTGACTGTGCCCGGTCCATCAGCACAATATCAGGCTTATTTGCAAGAATAGTCCTGTCTGTGATGATGGCCCGGTCCCAGTAGAGCCTGGCGCGGTCATTTTCGAGCACGGCTTCCGGCAAGTACTTGTAATACGGCAATTTCCGGTCCACGAGACCGTATTTCAGAGCGAGCGCCTGGTGTAGAATTCTGGCTACTAGGTTGTGCCTGTGCAAGTACTCAGAGTTAGAAAGCGCCGAACAACCGGAGATGACATGTCTAAGTGACTCCCCGGGATGGCGACAAGCTCGACAGACGTCGACGGTGCCATCCTTTAGGATGTATCTCCGATAGTTGTTGGTCTTAATAACCTGATCCTGTATTGCACAGACAAAACCCTCGGTTTCCCCAAAGAGGTCACCGAAACACAGCCAGTTGAGGAGTTCAGACCCTTACCTCCCTCCCCTTCCATTTTAGAGGGGTAAGCCTTTATCACTAAATCTCATTATAGAATGGATCATCCGATCTCGACAGGAAGTAATAACGGAGGCTGCACACTTCACGATTATGCATAGTGAGCGCGCTTAGAAAGCCACGCCCACCATGCTTTCGCGGCAAGTACAGCCTCATTACCGACGATCTCGGATGATGCATCCTATGGGACGTCATGGTAGTGCGGACTTTTCTATCCAGGGCGTTAAGTTCAGTCTGAGTCCACCTGAGTATGCCAAAGGTATACATAAGGACAGGCATGACCCAACCGTTATATGCGTGTGTCTTATTCACACCGGACAAAAGGCTATTAAGCACTTTGGTCAAGCGTGCATAAAACACGTCGCAAACTGACTGTTTCACACCAGCCTCATCGATACCGATGTTCTGTGACATACCCAGGTATCGGTATGTTTCAGCCTCGGAAAGGGTCCTTAAGTTGACGGGCATAGATAAATCTATGCCCTCAGAGTTAGCAACCCTTCCCCTCTCAACATGGAGGACCGCACACTTATCCGTCCCCAGCTCCATTCCAATGGAACTGCTAAACTCACAAGTGATTTTTAGCAATTCCACAAGATGGGAGCGACTGGAGGCGAATAACTTAAGGTCATCCATATAGAAAAGGTGGGTCACTTTTGTCCCTCCTTTCCGTAGCTGAAATCCTCTCCCGGATCCCTCCAGTAAGGTACTGAGAGGGTTCAGGGAGAGGCAGAACCAGATTGGACTCAGACAATCGCCCTGGAAGATACCCCTTCTTATCCTTATGTGGTTCTCCGCAGCCATCATCCGCTCACCCAGATGACAAAGGATCGTACTCCACTGCCCCATACACTGCTCGAGGAAGTCTCTCACTGTACAGTCTATCTTGTACAGCTCGAGGACTCTCTTTAGCCATGTATGGGGCACCGAGTCGAATGCCTTTCTGTAGTCTATCCAGGCGGCGGAGAAGTTCCGACGGTTGCGTTTCACCACTTTGCCAATGACCGCGTCAATGAGGAGTGGTTCCTTAGTTCCACGACCACCGCCCCGACATCCATTTTGAGCGCGTGACATCACCTGATTTAGCTCCAGGTGACGAGTGATTCTCGCGCTCAAAATGGATGTCAGTGTCTTATATATGGTGGGTAGACACGTAATGGGGCGGTATTTGCTCGGGTCTGTGGTAACCTGGTCTTTAGGAACCAAATGAGTGATCCCAGTAGTGAAGAGGCTACGGAGCGACTTCTGGTTGAGAGCCTCTTGAAACTGACGGGCGAGCACAGCGTGACACACCATGAACCCCTTCAGCCAGTAGTGATGCAGTCCGTCGAGTCCCGGACTTTTCCAGTTCGGGGCTCTACGGACCGCCTCAGCTACGTCATCCGGCGTTATGATGACGGGGTCCATGGGCGTAATACTCGCACACTGACTCGCCACAACTTCCGTCCAAGGGCCCTCGCTGTGGTTTACGGGCTCTGACCACAGGTCACGCCAAAATGCGACAGTGTTAGCCTGATCCGGTCCTGGGCCCGCTCCACATACCTCTGGTCGCTCCAATGATTTGTAGAGCCTCTTCTGATCACTCTGGAAGAGACGATTCTGGTTGAACCGCCTTGACCTCTCGGTAAATCGGCGAATCCGCTTCCCCCAAGCGGCAATCTTTTGCTTCAGGTCGTCTATGCGCTCCGTTAGTTTCTGCGTGATATCCGGCTGGGACAAACTGATATTTGTCCCAGCAAACGCCATTCTAACGGTGCGCACAACCCTCGGTCTATTATTACCCGACCTGAAGCTTATCAGTCTGCCGATAAGGGCCCTTGCCTTTGCGATACGGTCCTCAATTCTTTATCTCCAGGCTGGGATGGCGCTACTTTGTTTAGTAGCGCGTCCAGCCATGGGAAGTTTGGCACCAATAATACGGCAAGCTGCCACTGCGGCGCCAAAAAGAACTGAGTCCGTCTCGCAAAGGTCCCGGCTGGCTTCCAAATAGGTTACCAGCATTAGGTTAAGAGCCCTCACGACAGCCCGATTTCGCTTGCTTAGGGGTATGCGGGGAAGTCGCGGTCGATTTTCGAGAGGCATGCTGCGCGTTTCTAAAATCGCCTCTTCCAATATACTCCTCATTTGCTCTAGTTCGTGGGAGACCATTTCATCATCGTCTGAATCACCCACAACTGGAAGATCCATGGCGGCTTCTACGCGTGGCAGCTGGTCTGTCGCCTGAGGAGCCTCATCCCCAGCCGTATTATTATTATTATTATTATTATGAATGGGCAAGTGTAGGTTTTATAATTAATGTCGATGCCGTGCCATCGCATCGCAGCGGCGTTGCCGTTTTTACAGATCACAGCAGGTCAGTAAACTAATATTATCCAGGATGATTTATTTCGTGTAATTATAATCTATTAATTTTCTTTGAAAGATGCGCTTTTTTATTTTTTGTATTATTGTTTATTTTATTATTTCAACAGACGTATATCAACTTGCATAAACTGCTGTGCTATAAAAAATTACCTAATCGTAAAGTATAAAGGCCATGGTTTAATTTGATACACATTTTTTGTTTGAGTCTATGACTATATAACAACACTTAGGATGTCTGGTAATCGACCAGATAAAAGCATATTTAGATCAATGTATGAGCTATCATCAAATTCTGGAACTTCATAAGGAAGTAGTTTTTTTAAACTAAATTATTTTTTGAACTGATTAATTTAACACAAAACCGTTCAGCAATTTGTAGCCTTCTTAATAAAAGTGGAGGAATACAACTTTCTACTTCCATTACATGGATTGGTGTAGAGCACATAGCCCCAGTTTTAACTTCAAACTTTTTTTTTAACTTTAAAATCAATTTGTACGCATTTAAGTATGCTAATGTACTATAATCAAAATGACTTCGAACTATACTTTTATAAAGCATTGATAACAACTTTGGACGCGATTAAAACTACTTTTACGGATTTTATCGCGTTTATAAATAAATCCGTAAAAGTAGTTTTAATCATGTATAGTGTTCGCGTAAATATAAGAAATCATTATAACTTTGGACACATTGAGACCCCTACAGGCATTTTTACATAGATTATTTACATGTTCTGGGGATGCTAGCTTCTGATCAAACAATATTCCTAAAATTTTTTTTCTGCAACCAAGGCAATGTTATGTTATTGTATTTTACAAAAATATCGCATATTTGAATAAAAATCATGAATTTGTTCTAATTTTATGCTTTATATAACAAAGGAGATATAGTAGCTCCCTGCATAGTGACTTTGTATACATTTCTAGGGCCATGTATTATGTTATTAAATTTAGCATACATAGTTCGGTATATAGCAAATTAAAAATCCATTTACATACTTTTCCAGGAATATCATGCTCAAACAGAATATTTGCTAATATGGAAGGATCTACATTATCAAATGCACTTTGTTTGTCAATAAATGCTAAACTGTATTTGCATGACTGGTGAATGAATGATTTATATCTGAGATCAAAGAGGCAAAACTCTCTGCAGCACTTTTTCCTTTCCGAGAACCAAATTGTTGTTCAGGTAAAATATTATTTGCTTCTATGTAATAGTCTAGTCTGTTTTTCAACATGTATTCAAATAATTTTCCTACACAAAAGGAAAGTGAAATTGGCCTGTAGGAGTTGAAGTCATGTTCTGGTTAATAAGGTTTCAGAATAGGTATCACACGTTGCGTTTTCCGAGACTATGGAATACATTGATTGTCCCAAATCATATTAAAGATTTTTAAAATAGTTTTTTGTACATTAACATGTATGTTACTAATAACTTTATATGGAATATCATCCAATCTCGTCATCAAAAAAATCTAAAACCGTTTAAGTTATTTAAGTCAGTATGTGTATACCATTTTCGGCTCACCATTCGGTGGAAGAGTAGTCAGGCATTGATTTAGGTTCGGTATACTTAAAATAGATTGATTTATTAAATTTATCAATATGGAGCCATGATAAATATATACCATCATGCTAAAAAAAAAAGCTGTAAAAGATTACTTTAATTATGACACGTGTTAAGGTATATCAATATTATACAAATGAAATGGATATTTATACTTGAGCACATAGGACGTGAAAACTTATTCTATTTATACATTCATCCCAGTTACCTGAACCTAGCACCTCATTTTCAGAAAATATTACGTACGTACGTATTTTGCCTTTTTTGTTTACAAAGGGAGAACAACGGTTTTTTGGAAACAAAGGGAGTAACGTTAACTTAAGTAGACACTTCATCTGTTCTACTTACTACTATATTGCGAACGAAAAACCCTTCCCTCGGCTAGAAATTATTTACCTTCCGTTTGTGTACTGCACATATTTGGATAACACGGTGTGAAAGTAAACTATAAAGCTAAATATATATTTTGAGAATACTCGTATTAATAACAAGCTGGGCTCGCAAGTTTGCGGAATTTAAGAAATATGGGTTAACTTAAATTGACAAATTTCTAATGTGGTATTTATTACTTTAACAAAGCTAATTTCGTTAAAACCTTATTTCAATTTAGCAGCGATAGTTTCTTTTTCATCGCGTTACGGATTAATAGAATAACAATAATAATGAAATACACATAGTTATAAAAAAAAGATCAGGACGAAAGGTTCTCGATTGGCAGCCCCACTAGATGAAGTGACAAAAAAAGAGATGCAGGAAGTCAAAGGATGCAGGCGGCTTATGTTCAGCAGTGGACTTGTGCTTGATGGGCAATCATTACAAGGGCGGAAATGGTGATGACAATAACGACTCACAGTTTTTTTAATAGTATAAGAGTGACAAACGAGCACACAGTCCACCTGATGTTGTGGATGCTGTGGCTAATAAACATCTACATTTTTCTTCAATTAAAAATTAAAATGCAAATGCGTTGCCAGCCCTGAGGACCGAGATAGAATGTCTCGATTCCAGTAAAAAGAGTCTCCGGTTGTCTACACTCACCATACGAAACAGCACCCATCAAGCTGCTATTTTACGCTGGTATTCTGTGAGAGCGTGGTCCTACCCCGGTCGAGCCGACCCATACCAATACTCATAATTTTTGTTTTCATACCGTCTTTTCTTTGCTTGGTTGAATCGTTCCCTATTTTATATACCGGGGTACAAAATCGCTCTATAAAATTTAAGCTTCTGTCGGGTTTTATTCTAAGTTTGTGAAAAAATATAAATTCGTATGTCGTTGGATTGGGTGCGCTGATTGCGGTAAAATAAAAATAAAATTTTATTCGAAGTAGTGTCCTATGTTTTTTGCTACACCTTTCAACTTAATTGGGTCAAGTATTATGTGATAGCTGGTCAAATAAACAGAGAATAGAGACACATTCCAAAAACGCTTATAAATACATTTGTTAATATCAATTTTTTTGTTAGACAAGCAAAGATGTTTAAACCGATAATAATTTAATTTAAAAAACTAACTTTGGAAAATAATTTTAAGAAACCAATAAAGTTTTTGTTAAATTTATTTTGCAGAAGTAAAATCAAATAAAAGTGAGGCCTGCTATCCCTAGTATAATATTATAAATACGAAATTGTGCATATAATTTTTTTTCTCTCGTGCAGTAACGGATCGACATTCTTTTTTTGGGTAACGATGAATTTTGGACCGGAGAGTGACATGAGCTACTTTTTATTTCCAAAAAATGCATCTTCCATGTTGCTATGGTCTGTATGTATGGATTCTGTGTGATCTGGAGTGTAATTTTGTATTTACCTCTTTATGTTTTTAAGGACACGGATCGTGTATCACATTGGTCGTGATTTTTCAAAATGATTTCATTCTCTATAGTTATATAGTATAGTTACTTTTAAATAATAGGCCACGTTAGGGTTTTATTACTAAGTGTAGCACGGCACCTCACTCTTTCGTCACGATACAATATGAAAGCAACATGTATAGAATTGTATGAAGACGCTTTTAATTATGTATGATGTTCAATTGTCAATAACGTTTAACGTGCTGTTGCTTTTGTACATTAAAGCTCCCTTTCAAATCATCTTTTGTTGCGTACTTACAATAATATTTATATGAGTGGTGGGTCAAGCGCATAGCTATAGTAAAGAAGCCGACCAAAGGCAAAGTTCAAAATTTTTAACTGCTTTCTTCGAAGGCTTTAAGGCTACTTTGGTAGAGCAACATAGAAGGATATTATTATGAGATATTATTACAAAACCTTTATCAGCTTTTTATTATGATAAAATATTTTTTACCAATTTGTTTTGAATATTTTTGTGTATTTTAGTTGAATGGTAAATTTTAAGAGTAGTTTATAGTTATCTTAAATAATTTTATAGAAAGCACTCATATTGTATATATACAAGATTTTTAATGTAATATTCGTGATCAATATCAACAAAGATTATTTTGATCAAAATATTCGCGAAATTTTACGATCGGTCAGCTAAATTACCCATGCCGTAATACCTCTGCAACGTGGCAACGACACAGGATTCGGATACAGCAACTCTGTGTGCTATTTCTCTCGTGGAATATACTTCTTCCCTCAAAGTTACAATTCTTGCTCGTAAATCTTCTGATAATTCTCTTTATCTGATGGTCTTGAATGACTGCCCCATTCGTCTAGTGGTTTTAGGAGTGCTACTGCTGATCATGAGGTCCTGGGTTTGAATCCCAGGTCGGACCAAAAAATTAAATTTTCCGTCAAGAAATTCTCAGTAGCTGTCCGGAGTCAGGAAGTTGGTGGTGTCTCATCGCCGTGCCTCGGAAAGCATGTAAAGCCGTTAGTCCTGCACCTGATGTCTCTCCGGTCGTGTCGGTTTACAGTCCCATCGGATTATGAGAGTGAGGGAATAGAGTATGCACCTGTGCTTGCGCATACACTTGGGCACTATAATCCTGTCCTGCGCCGATGGCTAGTCTCCGTTGAGGCAGGCCGCCATGAAAGAAATTCAGTCTCAATTCAGTCAATTTTTCAATCGCAAGTGTCCTCGATTTTTTTTTAAATCTGTTAAAATTTACTAAGTCAGATTTCTGAATTTTTATATGGAAATACCATTGAATTTGTTTTATTATTTTATACATCTTATTCAATATTTTCAAGCAAATCATCTACCGAAACAAAAAAGATTTCTATTTTTCAAACTGATCGCAGTCTTTTTTCATGTGTATATGTATGAGATGTGTATCCACCATTTA